AGTTGTCCATAGTGTGTCCTGCTCTCCAGAGTGGTGATAAGTCAGTCTATTTCTTTCATACGCATTTTTGCGATTGTGGATCCACCGTTAGGAACCTGCTTATTTTAACTCGGATTGATTGGATTTACAGATGGAGTTGAAAAGTGTCTCTTGAACGACACTGTAGTCTTAGCTGACAAATATACCTGTAGAATCAACAAGTCTTTTTAAGTTGTAATTTTTCATTCATATGACAAGTTGCTGAAAGTTCAATTCTTCGAGCTGACAATCCATTTTTATAAAAAATCCGCGAGCCTCGTCGCCTCCCCGCCTACTTATAATATGCACATAGAAACCGGCTGCATCATCACACAAGGCGTTTGGCTTTTGCCAGTCATGCCACTGCTTGAATTTCTCCTCTTACGGCACAAAGTCCCTTCTTTCAAAGGGCGTTTTATAATATCAAAAGAATTTAAAGTGAAGCGGCTTCCGGCTGCTTAGTTTTTCCCTACGGTACTGCGGGATTAAAGGCGCAATCCAGACAGGACACGGGATATTATTAGATTTACTTCGCAGTTTAGTTCTCGTACGGCCGTGGATGCCTTTGATACGCCGTAGTTTTAAAAGACTACGTCGGACTGCCGATGGAACTCTATTTCCGGCAGCATGAGAAATTTCCCGTCGTCAATTTTCAGCAAAAAAATCAAGTCAAGTTTAGATGCTGTTTGGTTTATTGCAAAGCCTAATGACATATGATTCCAGAAAAAACAGTGAATGCAATTGGATTTGAAATATAGAATCGACGTACTTGACACAAAATTGACTGCTACGTTTAATTCACTTAAGATATGCCTGCTGCCGCTACTAGAATATCGGCCAACCCGTGGTAAAAGATACGCTGCACGCCTATGGCCTGCCTGTACATTTGTCGTCAAGGTCAGTCAGTTTACTGGTGTCATCGGGAGGTCGAGAGCGAGGAGCGAAACCCGAGACATGTAGCCGCAAATATTGACGTGATTAGAACTTACCAACTATATAATCTGTCTAATAGATAGTATTACTGAGAATAGAAGCTTCTTAATATTAGAACCTCTTTCACCTACACCAAACATTTACAACCCCCTACCCTCAAGTTTCAACCCCTATAAAAATGTTCCTGAAAATGATCAGAAACCTCTGAAACATCTAAAAAAGGTCTTACTGTGCCTTTTGGGAAATGTTTTTAAAAGGCCATACCCACTTGTTTGCTTGCCGTTAGTTGCTAATTGAAAGATAGATAAAGATCTCATCTCTTCAGGTACAAAGTACAAGAGTGACATGTTACGAAAAGCTGACAGTTTAGTAGTTATATAAAAACGATCACAGAAAAACCGCAAAGTTTCACGTAACAACATAGAAATGTATAGATAAATTTTCACGACCAACCCGTAGTAAAATATACGCTGCACGCCTATGGACTGCCTGTACATTTGTCGTCAAGGCCAGTCAGTTTACTGGTGTCATCGGGAGGTCGAGAGCGAGCAGCGAAACCCGAGACATGTAGCCGCAAATATTGACGTGATTAGAACTTACCAACTATATAATCTGTCTAATAGATAGTATTACCGAGAATAGAAGCTTCTTGATATTAGAACCACCAGCCGTTTGGAAAATGTGCAACTTCAGATAAGTATGTTCTTGTACACAAGTGAGTGGGAAACGTTTCAAGTTTTTTAAAAGGCCATACCCACTTGTTTGCTTGCCGTTCGTTGCTAATTGAAAGATAGATAAAGATCTCATCTCTTCAGGTACAAAGTACAAGAGTGACATGTTATGAAAAGCTAAGAGTTACATAAAAACAATCACAAAAAAACCGCAAAGGTACAGGTAACAACATAGAAATGTATAGATAAATGTTCACGGCCAACCCGTGGTAAAATATACGTCGCACGCCTATGGCCTGCCTATACATTTGTCGTCAAGGCCAGTCAGTTTACTGGTGTCATCGGAAGGTCGAGAGCGACGAGCGAAACCCGAGACATGTAGCCGCAAATATTGACGTGATTAGAACTTACCAACTATATAATTTGTCTAATAGATAGTATTACCGAGAATAGAAGCTTCTCAATATTAGAACCTCTTTCACTTACACCAAACATTTACAACCCCCTACCCTCATGTTTCAACCCCTACAAGACTTTTCCTGAAAATAATCAGGAACCTCTGAAACAACTTAAAACCACGTATGGGCGATTTCTGTTCATTTTTTGTCCGTAACTCCACCACCACTGTATCGATTGTTAAAAACTAGTACTCTTGTGTCAAAACGATCACAGAAAAACGTCAAAGGTACACGTAACAACATAGAAATGCATTAGATGAATTTTCTCGGCCAACCCGTGGTAAAATACACGCTGCACGCCTATGGCCTGCCTGTACATTTGTCGTCAAGGCCAGTCAGTTTACTGGTGTCATCGGGAGGTCGAGAGCGAGCAGCGAAACCCGAGACATGTAGCCGCAAATATTGACGTGATTAGAACTTACCAGCTATATAATTTGTCTTATAGATAGCATTACCGAGAATAGAAGCTTCTTAAAATTAGAACCTCTTTCACTTACACCAAACATTTACAACCCCTACCCTCAAGTTTCAACCCCTACAAAACTTTTCCTGAAAATAATCAGGAACTTCTGAAACAACTTAAAACCACGTATGGGCGATTTTTTTTTCATTTTTTGTCTGTAACTCCACCACCACTGTATCGATTGTTAAAAACTAGTACTCTTGTGTCAAAATTTTATCAAAACCCGACATCGTCCATATCGTTAGACCACCTTTTAACGAAAAAGTTTACTGTGCCTTTTGGAAAATGTGCCACATCAGATAAGAATGTCCTTGTGCACAAGTGAGTCGGAGACGTTTTAAATTTTTTAAAAGGCCATCTCCATTTATTTGCTTGCCGTTCGTTGCTAATTAAAAGATAGATAAAGATCTCATCTCTTCAGGTACAAAGTACAAGAGTGACATGTTATGACAAGCTAACACTTACATAAAAACAATCACAGAAAAACCGCAAAGGTACAGGTAACAACATAGAAATGTATAGATAAACTTTCACGGATTACCCGTGGTAAAATATACGCTGCACGCCTATGGCCTGCCTGTTCATTTGTCGTCAAGGCCAGTCAGTTTACTGGTGTCATCGGGAAGTCGCGAGCGAGGAGCGAAACCCGAGACATGTAGCCGCAAATATTGACGTGATTAGAACTTACCAACTATATAATTTGTCTAATAGATAGTATTACTGAGAATAGAAGCTTATTAATATTATAATATTAGAACCTCTTTCACTTACACCAAACATTTACAACCCCCTACCCTCAAGTTTCAACACCTACAAAACTTTTCCTGAAAATAATCAGGAACCACTGAAACAACTTAAAACCACGTATGGGCGATTTTTGTTCATTTTTTGTCCGTAACTCCACCACCACTGTATCGATTGTTAAAAACTAGTACTCTTGTGTCAAAATGTTATCAAAATCCGACATCGTCCATATCGTTAGACCACCTTTTAACGAAAAAGTTTACTGTGCCTTTTGGGAAATTGTCAACATCAGATAAGCATGTCCTTGTGCACAAGTGAGTCGGAGACGTTTTACATTTTTTAAAAGGCCATACCCACTTGTTTGCTTGCCGTCCGTTGCTAATTGAAAGATAGATAAAGATCTCATCTCTTCAGGTACAAAGTACAAGAGTGACATGTTATGAAAAGCTAACAGTTACATAAAAACAATCACAGAAAAACCGCAAAGGTACAGGTAACAACAGAGAAATGTATAGATAAATTTTCACGGCCTACCCGTGCTAAAATATACGCTGCACGCCTATGGCCTGCCTGTACATTTGTCGTCAAGGCCATTCAGTTTACTGGTGTCATCGGGAGGTCGAGACCGAGGAGCGAAACCCGAGACATGTAACTGAATATATTGACGTGATTAGAGCTTACCAACTATATAATTTGTCTAATAGATAGTATTACCGAGAATAGAAGCTTCTTAATATTAGAACTTCTTTCACCTACACCAAACATTTACAACCCCCTACCCTCAAGTTTCAACCCCTACAAAACTTTTCCTGAAAATAATCAGGAACCTCTGAAACATCTAAAAAAAGTTTTGCTGTGCCTTTTGGGAAATGTGCAACATCAGATAAGAATGTCCTTGTGCACAAGTGAGTCGGAGACGTTTTAAGTTTTTTAAAAGGCCATACCCACTTGTTTGCTTGCCGTTCGTTGCTAATTGAAAGATAGATAAAGATCTCATCTCTTCAGGTACAAAGTACAAGAGTAACACGTTATGAAAAGCTAACAGTTCAGCAGTAATATAAAAACGATCACAGAAAAACCGCAAAGGTACACGTAACAACATAGAAATGCATTAGATAAATTTTCATTTATGAAAAAACAATGTTCAGTGAAGAACTGCTTAAAACTATGTTTAAGTTGACCAATACTTACTAGTAGATAGTCCAGGCTAGATAAAAAAAGGTGAAAAAAAAGTTTAGCAGATATTTTAAATTTTTAAATAGAAGGATATTTCTCAATAAAAAATACATCCAGATATGCGTTGTTTTTTATAAACAATGGGAAAAGCCCAAAATTCAGTATTTTGCTTGTACAATGTTCAAATGGAATGTTATAAATAATCGGTAAACCGGATACTTTAGAGCATAAAAATACCTTCAACTTTGTTTTTTAAGAATTAAAATCGATAAACAATTAAGCTAAATACGGGGCTGTTTAGCAATATTGAATAAATGTTGATAACTGTTGCAATAATAATTGTACATTACTAAAAATTTGTGAGAATAATTTCAGCCAAGATATTGTTTTTTAAATTCATATCTCCTTTGTTATAAACGTTAAGTCTCGAAATTTTTCTAAACGCCTCGTACACCGATCGTGCATAGCGTTACGCAACCGGCAAACAAAGCGATGTCGCAATAGACTCGTTTTTGAATGGTCGAAATTATTTTTCAGGTGGGTCTACAAGCGAAGCGCTCGGCCGCGTCAGCTGGGATCATAAATAATTCCCTCATGAATTGAAAATCTTCTTTTCTTCGGCGTGATGAACGAAAGGGCGCGTTCAAATTTGAAGGCCCGTTCGTCTCTCATCTCCAGCTCTTTTGTGCGTCTGCTCGCAGATCCGTTATTGTAATGGGCTTATGCCTGGGAAAACGTATTCAAGATTAAAAATAAAAATATTCATCGCAAGATCTCAATCAAAAAACGTAACAATGGTCGGAAAACGAGCAAACATGATGGGATCTGCATGGATAAGTATACAGGCGATACGCTGGGCAATACTGACGCTCAAGTGTTGTAAAATAGTGTATACAATGTGTTCATTTGAAAGCTCCCCACCACGGATTTATTGAAATTTATTGAAAACCATCGATTAAAAGAAAAATCGTCGAAAATCTTGTGAAGGTGGACAACTTTTTCACCAAAAACTACTTCACCTCCTTTCCCCCTTGGCCCCCCAGGGTCATTCCCTTAAACATTTTAAATGACGTTTTATTTTTTAAAGTCAGTCGATTCGTTTCCGAGAAAATTAGAAAAACCTTGAAAGTAAAATCTGAATCAGTAAATTAATTTTCACTATCCCAAGATGGTCACAAATTAAATTCTTTCTTTCCCTTAGCAACCAATAACTAAACAGGTATAACAATAAATACAGTTCGCCCGGGATGTGTTGATGAAAAGAATGCGGAAAAAATTCGGGTTGTTGCCACATCTTATCCTTCTAATTTTCTCGAAAACGAATAGGCCGATTTTGAAAAATCAAACGTCAAAACGAAGAACTTCGAAAGTCCTTTCAAACAAACTTAATGGGATGACCTTGGGTCGCAGAGGTTGAAAGGGCGTGGAGTAGTTGTATCCGTAGCGTAGCGATTAAAAATAAATTCAACTTCCGTCGTTACATTAACTGTGAAAGACTGAAATTCACCTTGATGCTTCCTTATGGCGTAACACACGATAGAATAATAAATCCAAATACGGATTATACAGATTTTCTAATATTCCTTTCATGGACGGTTTTTCTTCGTCCGCGAATAGCTTGCGGCCAAATCTGTAAAGAAAAAGTAAATTACGGCTTGTATGAAAACAACAGTAAAACTTAAAAATATTGTGTCAGGTTTCCTGGTGCAAATTAACTACATAGTCGAATATTATATATACTAAGTGACATATAAATCCGAACACCCAGTTTAAATGATTTTATTTTAATAAAATTTTGTATAAGTACTTAATGAAGCATAATAAGTAAATGATAAAAATTTCAAAATGATTGCACTGCTTTAAAGCCCTTTGACCTTTAATAATGTGTGGATGCACTCTGATGTGCTACGCATTCTCCAACGCGCCTAGGCATGCTTCTGATCAGGTGGTCAATGTCCTCCTGTGGTATCTCATTCCAGGCAACCACCAACTCCTCTCGAAGTGTTTCTAGAGTCTGAGGAGGTCGTTGCAGATTGAGCAATCTCCTACCCATTATATCCCACACGTGCTCAATTGGGGATCAGTCGGGAGATCTTGGTGGCCATGGTAACAATGTGACATCATTACGTTGAAAGAAGTCTATTGTGACTCTTGCAACATGTGGTCGGGCATTATCTTGTTGGAAAGTTGGATCTGCCTGGGTGTCAAGATAGGGTAAAAGATGGGGTTCTAGAACTTCGTGGATATAACGCTGCGCGTTCATGTTACCTCTGATGAAGATTAAAGGTGACCTGGAACCATAAGCTATAGCACCCCAAACCATAACTCCAACAGTGTGATGAACATGTCTTTCAACAAAAAACTGTGGATTCCTCCTTTCACCACGTCGCCTTCTAACCCTGGCACGACCATCGTGCATGCCTAAACAAAATCGAGACTCGTCACTAAAGACAATACTGTTCCATTCCTGATCCCAGAGTGACCGGTGTCTGCACCACTCAAGGCGATTACGTCGGTGTTCTCGAGTTAAAGGGAGGACCCAGTGTGGCCGGTATGAAAACAAGCCAATACTTCTCATTCGTCGGTAAACACTTCGCATGCCAATAGGTCTTCCGTGTTCTGCAAACCATTCATTTGCAATGGACCTGGTAGTGGAGAAACGGTCCCTTAAGGCCAATAATCTTAGGCGGCGATCTTCACGGTCTGTTGTTCTACGGCGGCGTCCAGTGCCCCTTGCTCTTTGCGTACGGCCTTCTCGAAGCCATGCCTGACAACACCTAACCACAGTGTCTACACTTCTTTGCACTCTAACTGCAATTGCCCGAAAAGAAAGTCCAGCTTCCCGAAGTCCCACTATACGGCCCCTATCAAACTCACCGAGTTGACGAAATCGTACAGGTCTCCGTACTCTAGGCATCGTAACCGATCGTAAAGGATGTCAAGAACCAAAATTCGCCAACGTTGATTCTTTACTGCGGCTGAAATATTCATTTTTAGAGCGTTAGTGAATTAAAAAAAAAGCAGTATAAAAAGCGGAATGTCCAACTGATAAGGCTGAAAATTTTTTCACTTGTTATTTACAGTAAGATAAACACATTCACCAACTTTTATTAAAATAAAACCATTTAAACTGGGTGTTCGGATTTATATGTCACTTAGTATATTTTATTATTCATGAAATTATTTTAATATGTGTTCTCTTTCACAGGTACGTCGAAAATGTGTTGCATGTTTAATGTCAAAGTAAGTACATAAAAATAGTAGACAAGTAACACTAAACTACCCGATAATTTATTTTCAAGAATTGATAATTTCAAATGCTATCCTGTTCTGAAAGTGCTTCTGTTGGAAGAATGCGTTTGCATCTTAAACTAGAATTAGATAATTTAAAATCGGTCTGAACATTAATTCAGGAAAAATGTAATTGCCAGGAGTAACGCCAAGAAACTTGGCAGAATTTTTCCATGGTACCCGAACTCCATTTACTAAAACCGATCCGCCCATTCCAATGCCTCACCGTACTTTGTAACATGTGAACCGTGTTCCCGGACTGAGCTACCAGTGCAGTGTCAGCCATGAGTGAAAAGCGAATACAAGATTGGTCCGAGAACCGAACCTCGAGGGACACCGGCTCTGATGGACCGCTCTGTCTACAAGACATTATTTATTTCGATCCGAAATTTCCTACCTTCAGGAAAGGTCCTTGTGCCACACCTTGTCATATGCCCGTAACTCAGACCGAAAGCCAAATTGCACGTCAGGAATCAAAGTTTCACTCATAAAAAAATCAAAACGCTGTACAGGTACAGCTACGGGAGAGCTTTTAATAGCCCATTTTCCTGCAGAAACAAACGTGCCCAACTTGAAATTTTTATTCGAAAAATTCCGAATAATATTTCCTTTGCGCGTTCGCCTTCGAGTAGTTTTCGTGAACATAGTTATCGTTTGAATAGGAGCGGAACAGCAAGCGACGATCGATTCAAAGCAAAATGCAATGCAGATACGTACGCGAATTCCGGCGAGTTTCTCTGCAGTTAGGAGCCATTATGAAACACAAAAATGCTTAGGACAGGACAAAAAACTGTCGTCGTAATTGCTAAAGTAGCAGAAAGAATCGTACTTGGTGAAATGCTCAAGTTTGCTTCCGAAAATAACGTCTTACCAGCATGATATCCCGCCAGGTCGTTCTATCGTTAAAAAACCTGCTAAAAGTTTCAACGATTGGACTAAAATTCCTGTAGATACGCACAGCGGATAAAGGCTTTCCTTAGTAACAGAAAGTTCACGACTCATTGATCAGTAGTGCGGTGACTTGCGGCGTTCCCCACGGTTCAGTCTTGGGACCCTTGCTGTTTCTCCTATTCACTTGTATGCTGACGTCACGAAGATGTACGATATTTCCCGCGCATATCATAACACGCTTCAACGCGACCTCGACAACGTTTCCGAACGGTCCAGAAGATGGCTGCTGCACCTCAACTTTGAGAAATTCCGTTAGAAAGAACATCGGACCAGGAAATCTCATCCGTGTCCCGTCACATAGATTTGCGAGTCGTTGATACTCTATCATGGTTCGAGCATATAAAGGAGTCTATACCTTATTGAAAGATCCTTCAAGGTCCTTTTTCTCTGGACCAATTTTCAAAAACTACAAATTTTCTTCGTCCTGACCGGTACTTTCCAAGTTGTAGATCCAAATATAATATCCAAAAAACAATCTGATTTTCGAAGTATTTCGCGATTATACTTCCTCGGCAGTAGGCGTGGGAAGTCAAAAACGGTTAACCACATCATCGCTTTCAAAAATGACATTGAAACGTGTTTTAACCCAGTAATGTCGTAGGAATACTCATCGAATATCAAGCCGCATTAGAGGTAAATGCCGTATATCATCCATCCCAGCGTGTATATTGTGGGAGTCTTCATTCTTCGTTCATTGAACCATAGCTAAGGTGTACGTACATACGTTCGTATAGCCAGACGCGAATGCACGTTTCTTGGAAGATATGTGTTACTAATGGTTGAGGAAAATGCATGTTATCTCGACGCCAAATGAAAAATGGACATGCTTGCACCGTCGTCGATTGCACGAATAATAGAATCGGACAGTGATACTTGCATTCTCTTGAGTCTTCTTTCTAAGTTCAAACCACATCCACTACACGTCAATACCTACATAAGCGAGGTACGTTTCCATTTCAACAAGTTGCAGGCTAGATTCTATAGAAATACTAGACCAATTCTAGTTTAATACCTTTCAATGTACCATCATGGCGACAACGGCACCGTTTAGATATTGGATTGTCGATTGTTTAACCGGTCGTTATTCCCTTATTCTGAGTATAACAAGGACACGCTCCGCACGACTTTCATATTCTTCTCTGCCCGACGCGATGGTAATTTGTGGCAATGTCATTGTGAAGCTTTTTCTTGCAATGCTGTGTTTGTTCTCTTCTGCCACAGAGACAAGACAAGACTTCGTCCTGTACACAAGCGTAGACATAATGCTAACGTTCTTGACCGATGTCTTTGATGAAACAAAACACTCTTTAAGACATGACGTCAGCATGAGATGACCTTTAAACTTCGTTCCCATTTATTAA